ATTTTGTCGGCCACAGACATGCCCACACACAAACAGAGACTGGAGACCCACTCACCCACCCTCCTCCCCCTGTGTCAGCATGTGTGTGTGTTCCAAAATAAAAACCCTGACTGAGGTCTGCGCCTGCTGTCCTCCACAGCTGGAAGTGTGATTTGCTCGGCGTCAATCTCAACAACACACTCCTCCCTCCCCTCCACCCTGCGCAGGAAATTACATTTCCCACTCACTCGCCAGAACCGGAGGTGTGTGTGTGTGTGTGTACGTGCGTCCTCGCATACATTCACCTGTCTGCTCTGCGTGCATGTGCGTATATGTTTGTGTGTGTGTGTGTGTGTGTGTGTGTGTGTGTGTGTGTGTGTGTGTGTGTGTGTTGTGTGTTTGGTGTGTGCGCACGTGAGTCTGCCAAAGTGTGTTTTTACTGTGTGTGACAGGAGGGGGGGAGGCGAAAGGGAGTTCTGAAGTAGAAACAGAGGGCCAATGTTTCATATTACACTCCTCGGCTGAGGCGGGGAAGGGAGGGGGGCGGGAGGGGGGGGGGGGGGGGTGAAGAAAGAGGAGGAAACCGGGGCTTCTTTTCTTCAGGGGCATTTAACTGAGAGTTTTATGGAGGCTGCAGCCGTGGAAAATGAAGATCTCCGTCTGTGGTGTCTTCGCTCTCCTCACTCGAGCACTGTTTGGAGTAGGAAAAGTTTATTTTGCTTCAGACCAGAGAGGATGTGGTGGAACTAAATATTCTCCACTATTTGTCAAAGAAGCTTTGAAGAAAACATCAGAGAATAAGGGAATATATGTTGATGCGCTGAGGAGATGGGAGAAAAGCACTTTTTGTTAGATAAGATCTCTTTTAATTTCTGTAAAACTTCTTTTCTTTCCTGTCACTGCTAAAATAGATATACCGCCGAGAGATTGTAGGGTGGTGTTGGCAAGAAAATAAACAAGTTTTTCTCAAAGTTGCATTTGTTTGCAGAGATGACAGGGAACTCCAGAGTGAAAATTGGTGTTTTTTTCCTGAGTGTTTGAAAGTAAAACAGAGCTGATCTCAGTGATCTGCTGTCAGACGGATTATTAAATATATAAAGTTTAGAGTTTAAAATCACCTTTCAAAAAGCAAAAACATACTTTTTTAACCTCTCAACTATATTTTCCAAAAACCAAATGACAAAAACTAAAAAAAAAAAAGAAGAAGAAGAGAGAAGAAAAAAGACAGTGAACTTAATTATGTGCTGTGCTCAAAGCATCTGACGTGTGTGACAAGCAAAATATGCTGCGTGTCGTGGAAAGTGTGGAAATTGCCCAACGATGGAAAAACAGATCTGTGATATACTGTCATGCAACAACATTCAGCAATAAAGTTTTGTTTCCTCAATATTCATCCCACGTCTGCCCGTCACGTGCCAAAAACAATACGACTGTCAGCGTGAGAGGAAGACGACTGTTGGGCAACAACACTGACTTGCGAGTCTCGGGCTGTATGGATTTCAGATATGACCTACAGCTTCACTTGTGGAACAAACCCTCAGTACATTTGTAACACAGATTTTTGTTCTTTCACGCTGTTGTGGTGATGAAGAGAAGAGTTCAAGTTCCGTCAGTGAGGCATTAGCTGCTTCTCTTGGTAATGCATACCATCTTTAAACCATTAGGCTGCTGTGCTGTGATTTTCGGGGGCAATTGGAAGTGGAATGAAAACGGCTTCCATCCCGTGTGTCAACACAAATCTACTTTCAAACTTTTAGATAAAACTTTACCTCACATTCACACAGATTTGACACCATACAGAAACTTTTGAAAATGGGTCCTAACCTCGATGACTTACGTTTGAGTCTGAATCTGAGTTTGGAATCTCATGACAAGACGAACGTTTTTAATTCTTCCTCCTGTTTTGGTTGACAAATAACAATTTGGTGAGTGTCAGTGGAATAAAGACACAGCCCAGTCGCTCTGCTCAGTACATTCAGTTCAAGGTTAAAGGTTGATTTTTTTTTTTTTTTTTGGTTTCAATGTAACCTTGGTGAAATACAAGGTGTTCTCTTCAATCCTTAGCATTGCACTCCCAATAAATTAATGTAAAATCCTATATTTCAAAAGCAGTATAATGCTTAGACTGTGGTCACATCAACACTAGACTGACTTTCACTACTGGAATATGGCAAAGTAAAGGCTAGATATGATGTATATAAAATATTTTGCCCTACTTTCAGTACTTAATTTATGAGATTGTTTAAGTGTCGCTAAAGACATATGTACCATGGACCAACCATTGTAAAGACAGGGAAAACAGCTGAATGTGTTAAGGGATGTGTCACAACTCTGTCACATCTGATGTACACACACATGGTTTTTCAGCTTTCTGTTGGCCTCATGTTTGTGGTTAATGGACATCAGTCAAGCGAATCCAAAAGTCTTGATACTGCCATGGCGTGGGCAGGTACGCTTTTATAATAACTTGTTTGTCAAACTTGCTTCTCACAGATTTGGTGTTCGGCCATCAACGTCACCATCCATCCCACGTCGCCCTTCACAGTGGCCCAGGAGGGTCAAAACATCACCCTCTCCTCGCGTTGTGTCCCAGCGACGCCGAAAATGGCCGCATTACCGGTCGTGAAAATGGACCTTCCTACCGGCGGGCACGGAACCACAGCAGGAGGACGAACCCTCCAATTCTGTAATCGCTCGGTGTCAACATGAGGAAGGCCGTTTCTATGGCAAACATACACCAAGAGCTTCCCGTGGCCCAAACTGAAGCTGACGGTGGTGAAGCAGGGGAAAGATCTTTGACCTGATGATCTTGAACGTGGGGGAGGGGGACCGGGGGCTCTACAATGTGCCGGGTTGCAGGAGTTTAAAAAGCACCAGGACCGCTGGAAGCCTCATCAACTAGCACGCCGCTTACTCTTAAGAGCTCAGAGGAGGGCTGGATTTATCAATTCTGCTTTCCCCGTACAGCAGTGAAATTTGAATGTTGGAGAGTCTAGGGTTATGGTTCGCTCGTGAAGAGATCGTGGATGGGATGCTCGACCCGTGTCATGAGATGCCAAGCTCCATTCGTCTGCGCTCTCGGTGCTTATCTCGCACGAGTTTGTGTTAGTAAGAGGATGTGCACTGCAGCGCATGCGGGAGGCGTCTACCAGATGTTGTGCGAAGGCAAGAGTCAGCCGGGGTCAAGAACTCTCGGCGTCCTGCTCCAGATGGGGTTAGTGACACGTTTGAATGCAGTGTTTGGATGACTCGAGAGCCAAACTCTTATGAGGTGGGCATAAGCTGAGTAGCGATTAGTGTATATTAGAACCGACTGAGGCCTAATCTAGTGATCAATCAATATGGCGTAAGTGATAGACGATCGGAATATACTAAGTTGCAGCCAAGCCAAAGGGTAATATTTAGTATGAGCGCCAGGTGGATGCATGTGATGCGCACAGATGTAGTTACAGAGTGATAACGAGGCGCGAGATAGGTATGATGGTTTTATGTGTGGTGTCATGTAATGTTGAGAATGTTGACAGAAAGTATCTGGAGCACCTATACGATCATGTTAGAGATAGACACTGGTGAAATGATCTAATATGTACATGAGGATTACTGATTAAGCATGTTAGTGAGAATGTCGTAGTGTACGTGTTAAGATGTCAGGTGAGGAGTTCAATTACCATTATTTACCAGATTATTCTTCATTTAATTTAGTTAGCCTAGTTAAGACTAAGTCCATTTAATCATCGTTGAGGTCCCTGTTTATGTGTACGCAGGCGGTAGTCTGATGCAGAAGAGTAGGAAGAAGTTGCTAAAAAAAATATAAATTGATTTTTAAAAACAACAAAAACAACAAAGAGCTTTGTTGTTCAAAGTGCTCCTCTTATCTTTAACTTCATGTTTCTTGCTAGCATCAAGGAGTAATTGTGAAGTACATTATACATTACATTTTTTTAGACCACAAATAAATGAAGTTAACAACACAGTCACACCATGGCAAACACAGTAAACACAGCCAAGTAGTTAGGGTTGTTGAGAGCTCTGATGAGCAGGGTCATCCTCTAGGCGTGTGGTCCACCATTGAGGGTCACACGCCACAAATACACGATCTATGGTCTAGAAGTTGGTTGGTGTGTAGCTTCAAATATGGTGAGGTGTGATTCCTGTAGAGTGGGGAGCCTATTTTTGGACCATGCGACTTACTGCGAGTGGATAGAACTTTTTTCCCTCTTTCTCACAGTGCACCTTTGGAGAGGCTAAGTTGAAGTTGGTGGTGTCTCAGGAGGGAGTAGGACGCTCTAGGTCTATTTGTGCACGCTGGGTTCTTGATATTGGTATCTAGTACGTCACCAAGTTCATGGATTCTCCAACAATCATAAGAGATTAACAGAATGTGGGGTACCTCCGACACACTCAAGAGAGGAACCAGTTCCAATAATGGTACGTTCACAGTATGAAAAAGCGCGCTCACAAGGTGAACTGTGTGAAGAGGGTAGTAAGTTTGAGCTCGAAGCACCTGTAGGTTTAGGCGGCTGATCAGGGCCAAGAATTGCAGGGGGAAAAGAGACTGTGTCTTTAGAAGGCATGACTGAGTTGGACTAGGTGGAAGTGACGGGTGATAGTTTGAAGGTGACTCGGAGTGATGACGTTTGATCGACAGCTAAAGACGCATAGTGAAGTCTCGGAGATGATTCGTGGAGCGTGGAAGGCGGTGGACATGTAAGCATAACTGTCTGTAAAGGAGAGCAGTGATTGAGTTAATGAAATTGTGCGGTAAGCAGAAATTAGGACAATAAGACGTGCAGGAAAGATAGCAGATTGCAAAGCTAGTTGAAGGAAGCGATCTACAACTCTTTCTAATGTGAGACGTTCAAGAGGGGCCTTACCAAGGATCTAGGGCTATGGTGGAGTTTTAAATGATAAATCAGCATGGGACGGCCTACGGTGATCTGAAGAGCAGTGATGGAGGCGAGTGATCTGACAGGCCATGAA